AGAGAGAGAGAGAGAGAGAGAGAGAGAGAGAGAGAGAGAGAGAGAGATTAGCTACCTTGGAATAATCCACACTTTTATTTTGTAACAAATATTTATTTCTTCTTGTTAATTCATGCTTTACATTTTTAAAAAAATAATTGAGTTACATCACTCCATAGTAAGGAGTACAGATTCATAAAAGAATTCAGAGATTATCATTTAGACAGATGCAATTGTTGATATTAATAGACATTTAGAAATGGCAAAGTTCATAATGTCCACAGATTTACCATATGCAGAATACCCACATCTTGGAAGACATTTGGGGGACGTAGGATCGAAGGTGATCTGTTTGGCATAGAAATAGGTATCCATTTTGTTCTCATCTCTGAGCAAACAAATTTTCCTGGCAGCTGAATGGCCTGTTTCATTGTCCTAGAAATCTCCAAGTAGGACCTTATCCAGTCCAGATGTTTATAATAAGCACTAAGGTCTAAGGTAGTAGTTCTCTACCACGGTTGCTGTTAAGTATCCAGAAACACTTAAAAATAGCACCACGCACCATCCCAGAAAAATTAAACAGACCTCTGAAGTCAAGGATTGATAATTTTTAATATTTCAAGTGATTCTAGTATGAAGCCAGGATTGAGAAGCTCCACTATAAATTTTTACAGGGTTTTTGCTTGAAGAATTATTTAAAAGACTTAGATATTTATTTAAGGCATTTACACAATGATTTAGTTCACTGCATAGCTAACTAAAACTAGATCTAAATAACTAAATTCAGATATAATCAGACCTGAGAGTTTGTTAGAAAAATAGCTTTGTTTTAGTTCCCAAGACCAAGGCTGCATGTATTACAGGTCTCGAAATGCCAGCAATGTTGAAAATAATTTTAGCTGAAAAGTGAGAGCTTACTGTGCCATAGGCATTATTCTAAATATGAAGTTCATGTAGGTTAGCTCATTTAATCTCAGAACATTCTTAGGAGGTAAATACTGCCAGTCCCCTGCATATATATGTCCTTACAATCAACCAACTATAGAATGAAATATTCAAATATTGAATTTTGAGCCAGGGATATAGCTCAGTGGCACAGTGTCTACCTGGCAAATGCAAGGTCCTGAATTTGATTTCTGGTACACCCCCCCCAAATTAAATTTCATTGTGTATATGTGTGTGTGTGTTCTTTGCTTTTTTTTTTTTCTTTCTTTTTTGTCTTTTTGAGACAGGGTCTCACTATGCAGTTCAGGCTTGCCTTGAGCTCACTTTGTAGCCCAAGCTGGTCTTGAACTCTCAAGGATCCTCCTGCCTCAGCCTCCTGAGTTCTGGGGTTACAGGTGTGCACCACCATACCCAGCTTAAATTTCATCTTTTATGAATATGTTAGCACCATTTCTTTGCCATTATTCAGCTATGCACATAGCATTTAGACTGTATTAGGTATTATAAGTCATCTCAAAATGATTAAAAGTATACAGGAAGATGTGTAACGGGTCATGAACCAGTCCTGTAGGTGTCAAGAACCATGATACTATTAATTTCCCCCTTATTCACCTGGGATAACTAAGGCATAGAGACTTCAGATGAGGTTTCCAGCTCTCTGTTCTGTCTGTAATAGTTGTGTGGTACTTCTTAAGGCTGACTGGCCAACATTACTCTCCTGGCCTTTTTTAAGATTTTGTAAACAACTAGATTTGTCATTAACCCAAAACTTTGCCTTAAATATTCTTTGCCCTTGGCCTATTTAACTCCCAGGAATCCTGCAGATCTTATATGAAAGGTGATACCTCAGGGAAGCTCTTCCTACTTGCCCTTCCCCTTCCTGTCTTAGTCAGCATTCGGTCCCCGTGATGAAACACCTAAGAAGGTCAACTAAAGGTACAATTGGCTCACAGCTTCGGTCTTTGGCTCACTGGCTCCATTATTTAGAGCCTGAGGGAAGCTAACACATGAGAGCAACAGGACCATGGCAGAGGAGAATCACTCACGCCCTGGTAGCCAGGAAGTAAAGAAAGTCAGGGGCAAAAGACAAGGTTACAGCTCTAGTGATCTACTTCCTCCAGTGAGGCCCCAACTGTGAACCACCCTTTCAGCTGGGAATTCATGAATGGCTTAATTTCTTGATGTGGTCAGTACCTTCATGGGCTGATCACCTTCCTATGAGCATCTGAGCCTTTTGGGGGATATTTTTTTTTTTTAATCACAAGTATAAAACTTTCCCTCTTCCCATCTCAGTAGGTACCCTTGACAGTATGCCTTAGTAAAATCTGGTCCCTTACTTCAAAGCATTTGTCTCCCCCAACTCTACTTAATCAATCTCACTAATTGGTATGTTCCTCCTAGAATAAAGATGAATACAAAGTTGTCTCTCCTACTAGGTAATGAGCATTGGGATTGCCTCTGTGATTCTCATTGTAAATCCTAATGCTGAAAACTTTTTGAGATGCAAGTGACATCACTGAACTCACTCTGTTCAGAATCCTCCAACATCTGCCACGTGGAGGATCCACACAGATTAACTTTTTTTGACGCTTTGCCCACAGCCATCCCTAATCTTCCTCTCCTGTGATGTTCCTGTCTGTTTCTTAACACATCAAGTCACTCCCCAAGTCAGAGTTTACATTTGCGCTTCCTTATTCATGCAGTATTTCTCACCAGATTTAACATAAAGTTTCTCCTGATCATCTCTCAGAATTGAGTTTTAGTTATATCTATCTAAAATGATTACCTCATATCCTGTCACCTCCCCCAAACATTTTCTTTATCACTGTAATATAAAATCTTTTTTTTTTCTGTTTCCCAGAAGTTAGTCGTAACTAACTGAGAGCACCGAGAGCAGTTTCCCTTGTTAAAAGCTGTGTCCTGTAATTCAACAAAAGAGCCACTGACAACTTCATCACCTATACACATTTATTCACTGTGGAAGGACTAGAGTGTAAAAGCTATATTGAAAAGTGTTACTATGAAGTTTAGTCTGTTGCTGGTCTTAGTTTTCAATGGTTATGAATTTTATCAGAAATGTTACTGTTAAAAGTATTTATAGCCTGTTCTAAATATTAAATTTTTCATGGATTTTAATGTTAAATTTTTTTGAATGTAGTCCTTTATATTTCATGCCTATGGGATTACTATTCTGCAAATAAGCTTGTAAAGTATTTTTATAATCACACAATCACAGAGACTATACCTGTACATTTATTAAATTTCTCCTCTACTCATTAACTAGTTAGCTTCTTACACCTTTGCCTTCCTTGTTCCTCAGACGGTATTTTCCAAAGAGCATAGGGTGCTACGTTGTGAAGTTTAAATTTCTAACCTAAATATCAGTTTGGTTTTTAATGGATTAGAGGCATCGGAGAGTAAAGTAGCATGGGTTAAAACTCCAGGCAAGCCTGGTGCCATGGTCTGCAACTGTAATACCAGGAGCTTGGGAAAATGAGGCACAAAGATCAGAAGGTCAGCCTGGGAAACTTAATAAGGCCCTGTCCCAAAATACCAAAATGAAAAATAAAAGGACTGAGGGTATAGCTCAGTGACAGAGGGCTCCTAGATTCGATTCTCGATTATATGAAAAGAACAGAGCAGAGCAGAGCAAGCCTAGGCAAATTATTAACACAGATAAGTTCTTGAAATATACGAGAAGAAATGGCATGCCTTTTCTTCTATGCCAGGGATCCTCAACTGTAACACTATAATATTTGAGGCTTGAAACTTCTTTCTTCGCTGGGAAATTTTGGTCATTCTAGGATGTTTGGCAGTATCCCTGCCTTCTACCCACCAGATGCCACTACCACCCATTTCTGATTTTTGCAGTTCTAATGAATAAAAAAGTCTCCAGATCTTTCTAAATATCCCTTGGGGAAAGAAGGTAAAAAAATCACCTCCAGGTCCACGCAAATGGGAAGTGTATTTGTTACAGTGGCCAAATTATCATGAGGATGGGGTGCTTAGGTCGTTTAAATACCGGCTCACAGCCTTTATTCTGCATTTTCTACCCAATACCATTTCTCTTCTTCTAATGTAACCATGCCTAAATGTGTATATTATTGATGCCGGGTGATACAGTAGTTGTGTTTCTTAGTTATGAAAGCATATCTTTTCCGTCTGAGTTTTAAAAAAGACAGGGCTATATGCTACCTCTATTCACAGCTATCATTCTCAAAATAGAAGTGTAAAATGAACAGACATTGTATTAAAAATCTCTGTAAGATAAAAATGTATATTAAGCGTCACAGATACAGGTTTTCTAAATAAAGAGGTCAGTTTGAGGATGGCTGTGGTAATTCTAGATGAGTTGATGATTCCTATTCTGCGCAGTTATGTGATTTTATTTGCTCCTATTTCAGGACCTCCAGGACAAACTGGCTATCCTGGTCCCCAGGGTGGCTATCTAGGTCCCCAGGTTGGCTACCCTGGGCCCCACGGTGCTTATCCAGGTCCCTACACTGGATCCTCAGTCCCACCAGCCAGCTCTGCAGGTGTTGGCCAACCTGGGTTTCCTGTACAGAGTCAACCAGCACATGGGCAGCCGGGGGCACCTGCAGGGGCACCGTGGATGCCAGCACCACCACTCCCACTGAACTGCCCACCTGGACTAGAGTACTTAAGTCAGGTAATCTAAAATATATACAGATTTCCAAAAGTCACAACTGGGCACCCACTTTACTTAAACAAAGAAATAACTTGAGAAGATTTGAGAAACAGCAAACCAATATTTTCTGCTAACAGATTACTCTTCATTCTTCTAGATCAGTGTCACTTTTTAAGCAAAATACAAATGTATGAGGTCGTTGTGTTTTCTCTGACCATGACTAAAACCTGGGTTAATAGCCAACAGCAATTATTCATTAAGCAGTATGTTCCAGTCTTTGTTGTAAACATAATACATGTATTATCTCACTTAATCCTTGCCAAAAAAACTTATGTATTTGTGCTGTAACTATCATTTTTCACAAGAGGAAACTGAGTTCAGAAGTTACCTAGCTTGGTCAGGACTAGAGATTGAAGACAGAAAGAGTAGCCTTTTAATCTCGACTTTTGTACCAAAAGCAGTACCCTTTTATCCCAACACTGAATAACTTTTTGGGAACTGGAAAAGAACTCCGAATAAAGTTTATCCCTTAGTTTCAATAGTAAGAAGCAAACAAAGGGTTGATATATTGATACGACTCACCCTTTTATAACCATTTAAACTATGTGTGAATGATGTTGTTTTGTTCTTTGGGAGATCCAGCTTTATAAATATAGCTATGGGAGAAGGGAAGAAAAAACTCAGTATTTTGCTCTACTGCAGGATAATAACTTTTGGCATATGAGACTTAACTTTTATTTGGTGTGAGAGATCAGATAGGTAAAATAGGAGTGTGAAGTTCAGCAAACAAAAATTTTTATGATATCCAACCAATATTTAGTAAGTCGGATGTGTCTCTGGCACAGAGTTATATCAAAGAATTTTAGTCATAAATACATTCTTGAAGAAATACTCTGAAATATACATTTTCAAAATTAGGATCTCACTAGGCGTGGTGGGGCATGCCTATAATCCCAGCACTCAGGAGGCTGAGGCAGGAGGATCACTGCGAGCTCAAGACCAGCCTGTCCTACAAAGTGAGCTCAAGGCCAGCCTAGACTGCATAGCGAGACCCTGTCTCAAAAGAGAAAAATAAATAAATAAATGTTAGGATCTCATAAAATACTTACAGGAAATTATCCCTTACTATAATTGGTGAAGCCAAGTACACTTAAAATTGGAAAACTGTAGTAAGATAGAAATCTTTTTAATTAAATAAAAAAGTTATGACCATTTCTTGAGCCTTTTCTAGAAAGAACATTGTTTTAGAAATTTCAGCATAAATCAGTTTTATTTCACATAAAATGTCTCACATTAAGTGAAAAATTTCAACAAATATTTTGCCTATTAAGAACATTAAAGTTAGTTTTACTCTTTAATATAAATTTAAATATTGATAATGGTTGAATATTGATAATTGCAAGTGCATAATTTCCTTTTTGTTTTAACAGATAGATCAGATTCTGGTTCATCAGCAAATTGAACTTCTGGAAGGTATGTATGTATTCACTGAATTGGCCATATTTCTAGAGAGGGAAGTTTATGCAAATAAAGGCATATCAGTCACTACAAATATAACACTGTAGCTCATTTGGGACAGTTAACCAGTTTATTTACAAATGCCTGTCTTCACAAGAATAAAAAAATAAACCTATCAACAATTTTCTTTTGAAAACAAGTCAAGTGCTAACATTTATTTTACTGAGCATCTATTTTCAAGATAATGACATTAGATTGGAAGGAAGACAGTCAAAACCTACATTTGCTTTCCTATCTGTATAAATCAAGTTATTCTCTCTGATTCCTACCACCTCAGCTGTGGACTTCTCATTTGTCATCATCTTGGAAATGATACAGACTCGTGCAAAACTTTAGCCACCTTAGTAAATTTCCAGTGAGATTGATCTTTCTTAATTTGGATAGAATGTTCTAGAAAATTATTGTTTGCACCCACAGTTTCTCTGGGGACATCAGGTGAGTCCTGTGTCAGATATATGGGCCCTGTAGAGTTTCAGAATGCTGACCAGCAGACTGGAGGTTTCCTTCTTATAAGAGGAGCCCTGTTCCTCTGAGTGAGCCTAATGTGACCGGGTGTCTCCCTGGGGTCAGTGCTCACTAGATGCAAGAACAGATTTAGGAAACCAGCAGATGCTTCAGCAGGCTGCCAGGGAGTGAGCCCTAGGTAGCTTTATGAACCGTAATATCTTCTTTCCTGATGTAACTGTGCAGTGAAAATTGCTGGCTTATCGACTATTTATGTTAAATACACCTTTAGCTTATTTACAAAAATCCTTTCCACGGCTACAAATTAGAACATGAATTACATAAGTGGAGAAATGGAACTTTAAATTCTACAATTGTCACCTATTACATTTAAATTATTTATAATGCAAATTGTCAGATGTATATAATGTTCTTGATTTTGTTCAGTGTCTTTAACATTTTTCTGGAATAGAGCTCATTGCATGATTATCTGCAGTTTTGAATATAGTTTATTCTGTGGTATATGCTATTTATTTTATAAAATCCATATAGGTAGATACCATGTATTATGTAACACACATATGTCTTTGCAGATTTATAGATATGTAGATTGATAACTATTTGTGAAATACATAACTTGATTAGAAACTATCTCATAATTTTATTTTTTATTTTTTAATTTTTTTGTCTTTTTGGGACAGGGTGTCGCTATGCAGTTCAGGCTGGCCTCAAGCTCACTTTGTAGCCCAGGCGGGTCTTGAATTCACAACAATCCTCATTCCTCAGCCTGCCGAATGCTGGGATTACAAGTGTGCACCACCACGCCCACCTAATTTTAAAATTTACTATTTAATTTGAAGTTTCTTAAAAAAAAATCCTTAAAATAAAGGCATCCTAAATGTTCTTTTTTCCCCACATTGAAAGTCTATATTGTTGTTTTATGTTATGAAAGGTATATGGAAGATGAAGATTACTGTTTTTATACTATCTGTGCATTAGCAAGCACTTACATTTTTCTCAATTCAAATCTTAATAGACCTAAAAACATAAACATGAGACTCTCTTGTATTTTCACCTGTTAAGTAACCAGAAACAGATTATATAAACCAATATGGCTTTAAAATTAAACAAGGTAAAATTTTCTGAGATTATGCTACTGCATGAAACAATTGGTTGGATAGTAAACACACTCAGAACATCAGTTTAATTATCTTCCCTCACCAACCTTTGACTGTAAGAGATGTTGAGGTCACGGGTCATCCTTGTTATATGCAGAGAGCTTATCTAAGTCCTACCAAAGACACTGAGAGGAAATCATGCTGATAAGACTTCTTTTTTTGTTTTGTCCCCCCCCCCCATACCGGGAATCAAACCCATGACCTCACCCTTGCCAAGCAGGCGCTGTGCCACTGAGCTAAATCCCCAGCCCCCTGATAAGATTTCTGAAAGATAACTATAACACACGATAATTCCTCTTACACACACATTAGTGTGTAGCCTGAGCCTCCATGTATTTCTTTTACACATACTATGACCCCTGTATCTGAGGGCAGTGGCCAAGTAGGAACTTTAATTGCTCCTTCCTGCCTCGGAGAATGGAGCATTTTCCGAGGTGTTAATCCCTGCAGTAAGCCCTTGATGTGATACTTCACATCACTCCATTTTCTTTACACAAAAGTTGAGCTTCTAGAATGTGCAGAAATCTCCTTGAATTCCCATTGTCTGTGCAGCCTACTAGTTAAAGCCATGATTGGCAAATACACCTGTTCCCTCCTGTCTAATACCCCCTCCCACTTCCAGCTAGCGATGAGCTAAAAACAAGGGCGCCCTGGGCACAATGTGATGTTCTAATTAATTACCCTTCTGTTTTCTCTCTCTTCCTTTTCCGTGTTTGCACTGGGAGTAAACGCTCATTACCTTTGCTCCAACATGGTACAAAAAATAAGACTATAATTTCTAAAGTGTCTCAAGCCAATTTCATTAATACAATAGCTACCCCTATAACTCCTTTATAACATACTAAAACTGTACCAGAGCCAGGCATGGTGGCACACGCCTGTAATCCCAGCACTCAGGAGGCTGAGGCAGGAGGATCATCACGAATTCAATGCCAGTCTGGGCCACAAAGTGAATTCAAGGCCAGCCTGAACTACATAGCGAGACCCTGTCTCAAAAAGACAAAAAAAAAAAAAAACCCAAAACTGTACCAGAAAAGTGGATATTTTATCCATACAGGCACCCCCTCTGTCCATCTATACCAGTATACTAATCCTGTGCAGAAAATCTCACCTTTGCAACAGTCTGTGGACTTAAGAGACGTAACTCATTTTTATCAGAATAGCCTCTCCTTACTTCCTTTGACCTTTATCCGAATCACTTCTAAAAGAGATCTTTCATTTCCCTCTTCCTTTTGATGCTTGGAGTATCATCCAAAGCTGTTATAACTAGATGTTACAATACCATAGGAGAGATCCACTATTTTTAACAAAATGGTAACTACAGATTCCCCTATTATGTGTTTAGTCTTAACAGGCTTTGAAACTAATAATAAATATGAAATTAAGAACAGCCTTGGACAGAGGGTTTACTTTGCAGTGGAAGACAATGATTGCTGCACCCGAAACTGCTGTGGACCAACTAGACCTTTTACCCTCAAAATTCTTGATAATTTGGGCCAAGAAGTCATCACTATGGAGAGGCCACTGAGATGTAGCAGCTGCTGTTTCCCTTGCTGCCTTCAGGAGGTCAGTGTGTAGTTTCTAAAGTAGTTCAGGAAAAACTTTCAGGCTTTTGTTGAACATAAGCATCATAATTATTGTTACATTTATTTATGTTCGTTGCTATTGTAGATAGAAATCCAAGCTCCTCCTGGTGTTCCAGTTGGTTATGTGACTCAGAAGTGGCATCCTTGTCTGCCTAAATTTACTGTTCAAAATGAGAGGAGAGAGGATGTACTAAAAATAATCGGTCCATGTATTGTGTGCAGTTGTTGTTCAGACGTTGATTTTGAGGTAAGAAATGTTCAGAAAATTTGCTTTCTTATTGTCCAAAAAAATAGAATTTTATAGGGTGTTACAAAAATACTAAGTATGTTTCATTGATACCTCAAAGAGAGATAATGCGCTCAGTATTTAACTTTAGTCAATTTTAGGGTCACGAATCTGATTAAAGTTCGGTGTTTGTTATGTTAAAGAGAAAAAATTTTTGGAAACTATATAATCATTGATAAAAAATAACAGCATATCTAGAACCTAAACATCATGACTTCTAGTGACATCATATATTACCAGCACTCAGGAGGTTCAAGCAGGCAGATCTCACATACAAGGCTGACCTGGGCTATAAACCCACTCTATGTAAAAATAATAATATAAAAACAAACAACACAGAATGATAGTCTGGTGTTTTGGTTACTTTTTTCTCGTTGCTGAGACAAAATACCTGACACCCAGAATTAAGGAAGGAAGGGGTTTTTTAGCTCACAGTCTGTGGAGGTTTCAGTCCATACTTGGCTGGCTCCAAGGCAGAGTGGTACATGGCAGAGAGCAACCATTCATGGGGGCATTAGACAGCAAAGGCAGCAAGAGCAAAAGGAAGAAGCAGCAGCAAGCAGCCTCTTTCTCTCCCTTACATATGCAAACTACCTGCCCCGGGGTGGATATAGCCCTCACACCCATAATCCCAGCATTGGATCATAGATAAATCATAAACTCTAAAATCCCACCCCATGACTGCATGTGGCCCCAGACACAAACCATAAGACCTGGTCATCTAAATGTGTCCTGTGGATCCTTCCTTAATCTGCATCACGGTGGTTTTGTAGACCACCATGTTCAGAAGGTCTGATTGCTTTAGTTCCTACGAAGAGAACAATTACACAAAGATAGTTTTAAAAAGGTTAATGAAAGGTACTTCCTTTTCCACAACTCACTCTTCATAGCTTCAGTTAACTACATTCAACTGTATTCTGAAAATATTAAATGGAATTTTCCAGCACTAAACAATTCACCAGTGTAGTTTGCATGGCATTCTGAGCCATGTGATGGAATCCGGTGCCCCATCCTGTTCCATACAGCCTGGATGTGAATCGTCCCTCTTTCCAGAGTATTGTCACTGTATAAGGTACCTGCTCACTAAGTGAGTCACTTCATAGCATACTTGGTCATAGCCAGTTGGCAGACGGATTGTCTTGGTATCTTACTGCTGGTGCTCAAGTGACCCCTATGTAGCAAACTTACACTGTGCCACCTTGCCTACGTCAGTGTCCTCCCTTCATCTCATCACACAAGCCACAGGCCAGTGAGTCATAGCACATCACCAGAAAATGGATAGATACAGTAAAATAAGGTATTCTGAGAGAGTCCACATTCATACAGCTTTTATTTTAGTGTATTGTTATATTTTTCCTATTTAATGGTTACTAAGTGTTGCTAATCTCCTGTTCTTAATCTATAAATTATGCCTTATCATAGGTACACAGAGAAAAAAGCATAGAATTCAGTGGTATCTTTGACTTCACGCCCCTACTAGGGCCTGCACAGTCTAGAGGGACTACTGTATAATACACAGTGCCCAATTATGCTTCTCTGTCATCTATATTTCATCCTTGTATTAAGTTAAGTCACTGAAGCTACTGTGTGCCTGTGTACTTACTCTGTGGGGTAATTTCATTACAATAAATGGTCTAAGCCAGTGGTGGGGAACTTATGGCACACGCGTTGTTTTTCTTTTAAGATAAAGGATATTAATATATGAGTTGTTTTTTCAAAACTAAAACCTCAGTGTTCAAGTTTAATTGCCGTGTGGGCACTTTGTGATGAATAGGTGGGTTCGGGGTTGCAGTTTGGGCACTTGTCTGCAAAACGTTCACCATCACTGGCTTAAACACAGAACCCAATTTCTTTAGTTACAAATATGGAGAAATTTTACAAGTTAATCTTTATTTCTTGTCTTCTCCTGTAAAATCAGAAAATATGGTAAGCCGGACCCACCTTTCCACAGAACAAGATATCCTAAAGCCAAGAAGGGTTACTGCGTATGGCCATGTTAACAACTATTGAGCTTCATTATGTGAGATTATTTACCTGCTTTCCTTTCAAATGGTTTTCAAATTCTACATAGCTTCTAGTTGTAGAAGTATGAATCCTCATATACTAACAACAGAAATGGGAAATATTGTGAAATACTATTCATAGAAGCGTGCGTATATACAAACACTTTAGATGAGGATATGCATAAAACTTTTTCATGTAAAGAATGGTATTCCTATCATAGAGTCAGAGGAGTTAAAAAGTAGTTGCTTTCAATACTTTTTTAGCTGCAAGGAACAAGATCAATGAAATCGCCATATGTTTTACTTTTAAGAAACAAGTGAGGGGCTGGGGATTTAGCTCAGCGGAAAAGCGCCTGCCTGGCAAGTGCAAGGTCATGAGTTCGGTTCCTGGTACCGGAGAAAAACCAAAAAAAAGTGAAAGAATTGTGAAGCATTGTGAACTTTCACATTTAACACTAAGAAGTTAGATTTCACCCTGCAGCTGTTCTAAATTAATGCCTTGACATGTTATGGCCCTAAAATGTCCTCCAAAAGTCCGATGTGTACAGAGAGTGCAATTTCAGAATGCAATTGATCCATAGGGTGCAACATTCATCAGAGATTAATCTTTGCTGAGTTGCTAGCTGAAGGTGCTGCGAGGACTTAGACTCCACTTGGAGGATATCCTTATAGAGGATGGGTCACTGGAGATTTCTTCATAAAGGGCTGACCTGTGCTTGGCTTTTACTGGTTTCCCTGCTTCCAGGCTGCCATAAGTTGAGCAGCTGTTCTCTGCCAGGTCCTTCAGCTATGATATTTCCACCTTGGAGCCAGCCCATTGTCAACAGAACCCTCTGAAACCGTGGACCAAGATAAACCTCTCCAATCCATCCTTATTTATGTGTAATGACTTAACTTCTTTCCTGTGCATCTAGGTACCATCTTTGACAGACTTGAGAAATAGTTACATGATTCATTTTCTGTAGGGTTTATGACAGAAAGGTTGACATTTTAAGCCAGGAAATGTCAGTTTGAGGAACTGTCAATGGGCATGGAACTTCTAGGAAAAGATGATGTAAAAGTTTGAGCTATGGAAGGAGCAGAAATTATTCCAAAAGGAGAAATGCATGAAGAGATGTTTCAGGTGTACGCAGTGGGACTGATGCATGCACTTCTTGTCAGTTGAAGATGTAATAATGTCATATGTTTGAGAAGCTAAGTAAATAATGATACCTTTGGCCAAATTAAGAATATAGGGGAAATTAAGAATTTGTATTTGGATCATATTGAATCTTGGTTATGGAGTGAAAAATTCAGGAATTTTTGAGGAAAGTATATAAATGATTTAATTGTATTAATGACAGTTGACATTGTGACATGATTTCCCTAAGAAAGAATAAAAGATAGCCAGATAGACCTTCGACCCCATATAGATGGCAAAGCAGTGATTTTTCTTGCAGGAATTTGGGTAGGGAATAATTAATGCCCATATGAAGCTGATGTCCTAAAGCAATCCTGTCCATGAGTTTGAAGTGTAAATTGATGTTGTTATGATTTAATTAAATTACTTAACAATTGTAATGTCTTCACATCCTTACAGATATACTAAGTGATATATAAATACTTCATCAGGAAATGAATACATTATCCTAGCAACAATCATATTTTCTATTACAGAGTACAATTTGTTATATTCCTTTGATTTGTATGTACTTTATGTGCACTATTGTATTTCAGTCTTTGCAGTGATATTTAAAATTGTGAGATGAGTCTAAGAATTCCTTTTTCAGCATATTATTTACCAGTGATTGCTGTTAAATTCTTAAATTTATGGATTAAAATAGTTAACGTTCAGGGCTGCTGATGTCCTTCAGTGGGAGAATGCTTGTTGAGCATATAAAAGGCTCTGAGTTCAATCCCCAGTAATGGAAAAAAATACTAATATAACATCATTAGTAATCTCCCTAGGTGAAAATTTGATTATGATGACATCCTGTTTTAAAAATATATTCAGAATTTATCTAAAATTTTTGTAGACTTCATGAATTTTCAGTTATAGATCATTAATCCCATTTCTGAGCTGTGCCACAAAAAATTATGTATCCTACTTCTGACACACATTTTGGTAAAATTTTGATTTTTGAGTCAGTAAACAAAAACAGAACTATGAATACCTTTATCAGTGTACTCGTGAGTTGTGGCAAATTGTCACCTGAAGTTTTCATTTTGAAAACTATTTCAAAACTTTAAAATAAAATGTAAAATTTTTCTATATTTCAGAATTTTGCAGGTCACAGCCATCTCTACCCGAGTGAAATGGGTCACCAATTCTAAGTTTCCCTACATTTAATAAGTAGGTTGACCTGAAGCAAAGGTTTCAAAAGGTGTTACTGGTACATGTGGTACTTTGTTCACATTTAAAAAGGACTTGCCTCTTCATTTAATACAATCCTGAGGTTGCATAGCTCAGCGACTATCAGATATACTCAGCTTCCACCTGCTCGCTTGAGCAGTGGCTTTATTGTGGGCACAATTTGTTCTGCTCTCTATATGACCTTGAATTTTCCTTAGGCAGAACTACAAGATGAACTCTTTCGCGTGTATCTTTATTATTAACACTCCACTAGATATCAGGTCTTACCCCAACTTTTGACCCAACTCAAGTTGCTTCCTGCACTCAAAACTGACAGTATTCTTTTCTGAGCTGCTAGCACTTCCTGTTTCCCATCCCTCAGTAAGTGGAGATGTGCCCTCTGTCATGTTTAAATCTATGGCCTTTGTAAACTGTCTATGTACCTCTTTATGCAGAAAACTAGTTCTTGCCTCTTCTTAAATTTTGTTTTGGAGCAATTCAAATAATGGATTACTGCCAGTGTAAAATAGAAAATGTTAATATTTCAGCAAAATTAATTTCTATCACTTATGTATACAGTGAAACAGGTTTGCAAGCCTAGAGGATTATTGGTCAGAGATACAGATGGGCGTCACTGAATACAACGTTTATTTCACATCAGTTTTGGCAGTAACGTTGGTATAAGTTTTCTACAAACCTTTATGTTACTTTTCCAATGTAGATTAAATCTCTTGATGAACAATCTGTGATTGGCAAGATTTCCAAACAGTGGTCTGGGATAGTAAGAGAGGCATTCACGGACGCGGACAACTTCGGGATCCAGTTTCCTTTAGACTTGGATGTGAAAATGAAAACCGTGATGCTTGGTGCATGTTTCCTCATTGTAAGTCCATTCTCACTTACCTTGGATATATATCATTGCTCTGGTGTTATTCTGAAGTGATTCGATAGATTGTGTATTTCAAAATGACCTTCTTAAATGAATAGATTTTGTAGAAACACTCCCTTTTAGTCCTAGCTCTGAAATTCCATTTGATTCTGACACTCTAGATACACAGGTGACCAGTTTCTGTCTGAAGAATATGTGTTAGCACAAGAAAAGGCTTTTATATATCATGCTTGTCTTGGAGTATTTTTTTAAAACATAGAATTAGTGCTATGGGAAAGATGTTGAATCTGGGTGTCAGTGGAAAGAATGTCAGTGAAAGAAGGAAATTCTGTTCTGATTTACTATTAAATCATCTAATGTAGAAATAAAGCTAATATATCTATCACGGTCTCAGGTCTTCTAGTTTATAGGAAATAGTAAAGGAGAGCAGTGATTCTAAACTATTTGGTACCCCAAGTACCAAAAAAGAATAAAAACATACAATTAGCAGGAAAGTGGCAAAAACTGGAGACCAGAATGTTAAGTGAGATAAACAAGACTCAGAATGTCAAACATCGTGTTTCCTCTCATAAAGAACATAGGAGGAGGAAGGAGGGGAAGGGGAAAGGGTGGTAGATTGAGATAACAAAAAAGTAGAAGGGAGACTGACAGAAAAGGAAGTAAATCAGGGAGGGAGGAGGAAAAGGACAGAGATAATGAGATAGAAAATGACCAAGGAATGTTATACGTGTGTACAAATATACCAAAGTGAAACTCACAGTCAAGATGCACTAATAAGAAAAATAAAATCCTGAGTACCAAGCCATACTCCACTTCAACTAAGTCAGAAACTCAACTGGAAATGTGTATAGCACCTGAGTTGGTCATAGCATTCAGCACGATTTGAGGACTGCAGGAACTGCAGTGGTCGTTGCCATGAGCTGCATAATAGAAAGACCTGTGTAACTTTTCATACTCTCCCTGTCTGCTCCGCCCCCAAATCTGCTCCATTAGAATCTCTACTGTTGGAACGCAGCCTTAAATCTGTACAGAAACCATAGATGACTGCTTACATTGTACAGCTGAGTTCTGAGACACTAGAGAACTTGTTAAATGTTGATTTATGCATACAGTCAGAAAAATGAGAATACTCAGGAAATAAGGAACCACCCCAGCTCCTTCATGAAGTATCAAACAAAATAAAAAGACAAAGGTAAAATGAAATTGAGGTGTGAAGAGATACTACAGTCGTGCTAATAGACCAGTCAAATTAGGGTATTTACAGAGATATTTATGAGACATTCAGAGAAATTTGAACATAGGCTGTTTGATGAAATGAATGAAGGATTAATGATATAATGATCATATTATAGAAAAACAGAGAATTCATACTTATCAGAGACACATCCTGAAGTGTTTCACCATATGATGATTTCACCTCATGGATTTACTTTCAAATAGTGGGGATGTGGGCAGCAGGATCTAGTGGACTGAGTAATAGGTGAAGTAAGCTTGATTATATTTATAATAACCGAAGCTGCATGAAAAAGAGGTTGATTTTTATTCTAAATTGGCACATGCTTAATTTCTATCTTAAAGTTTAAATATATCCAGAACTGTATGTAAAAATTGGAACTTCAGTCAATATTGTTTTTTATCTAAAGGGTAAATTTAACCCTAAACTTTAGAAAACTTGCATAGTCAAGGTATGTGGAAGATATTGTGTATTTAAGGAAAGAAAGCCATCTGGAACATGTTCAATGGAAAATGCAGGTGGAAATAGGGAAAAGGGCTTAGTTATGTTCTTCTTTGAAGAGCCCTTCAAGCTACAGATAGAAGGGCCGGGGATACAGCTCAGTGGCCCAAGCACCTGCCTGGCAAGCACAAGGTCCTGAATTTGATTCCCAGTACAAAAAAAAACCCCAAAAACTACAGTTAGAAGAGACAAGTTCTGATGTGCTAGTTCACAGTACAGCAACTCTATATTCTGATAACAAAGTGTGTATTACTAAAAAACCAGAAGAATAATTTTGAATAGTTTTACCCATAAAGAAATGATAAATATTTGATATGAGAAATAGATTTAAGCTGATTCAAACTTTGCATAATTTATGCATGCATAGAAACAACACATGGCAACACATAAATGTATAAAATTTTTATCTGTCAGTTAAAACAAAAATTTTTAAAGAAGGTTTAAATGTTATGTACCTTTTTATAGACATACATTAACTCACTTCAAATTATTTAATTGGTTGGTTTAAAATTAGGTAAAATAAAATAAGTGTAAATTCTTAGTCAGCCAAATCCTGGTGAGAATGTGGGAAATGGATTGGAGAAAGGTTAAAATGGAATAGCATGATGCAAGTGGTCAGGAAAGAAGCATTACATGGTTACTGTTGAAGAGATTTAATAACATAATAAATGTAAAAGAAATAAATTCTGTAGGATTTTCCTAATGTCATAGAGCGAAGCCAGGGTCTTGTTGGGGTACAGTTGATAGGTTTGTAAAAGAATGGATGAACCTGAACCAAAAAATTCTCTGACTGTCGTCATCCTGAACAATAAAGCTGTTCATGGAACTCTTGTCACTAGAGAAGTTGTATGACTGGAGAAGGATGTCTCCAAAAAATTGAGGAAAACAGAATAAAAGAGAAAGATTTCAAGGTATATCAAAAAGTGTTATTAGAGAAGTTGCCAGGAGATGCATTACATTCCTACAAGACAGAATAATGGAATTTAGTTGTCATTAAAATGAAAATGTGGCCAGGCATGGTGGTGCACGCCTATAATCCCAGCACTTGAGAAGATGAGGCAAGAGGATTGCTACAAGTTCGAGCCCAGCCTGGGCTACATAGTGAGACCCTATCTCTAAAAACCAAAGGAAAAAATAATGCAAAAGTAAAGCAAAGATTGCAGAGATATAAACTTTTCCCAGCTTTATGCATTATATTTAACTTGTGTGTGTAACAGGTGTGTGACTGTGTGCCATCTGTATTATTTGATTTCTGCATCTGAGAGTTGATCTCTGTTTTATTGGTAAAACTTATTTCTGTACTTTTGTTTTTATCCAGGACTTCATGTTTTTTGAAAGTACTGACAACCAGAATCAAAGATCAGGAGTCTGGTAGTGGAGTCTTGAAAGTGTCCTTTGAAAGTGTCCACACAGAATCTAAAATGTGCACAGTGATGAGGCTATCGAAAAGTAAAACATTTTTTCTGTGTTAGTATCACTGCTGTCTGTATGACTTAAGGAGAGATGCCTGTAGATCCTGTTGTATGATTTCACTTCCAAATTACAGTCTGTTTTCTGGACCTCTCTCATATAAATATTATGTGTTTATACATTTTTAGATACTCACTGTGAATCTGAGATAAACGGCATAGGAGATTTTACATTCAAAAAAGAAAATTTCTTATGAAAATTGCTTATATTATAATCACTGCCCTACTTTCTATTTTATACCACAATTAAAGCATTTTTGAACTTTAATAAACAAGTAAATGACTGAATTTGTTTGGTTAAGATTTATTTCATGCAACAAATACAGTGCTATCTTAAAAAATACTATCTATTCAAAAACTCTCACAGATCAATTTGTGTCCTTTGTTATTATAGTTTGATACTACTCAATATGGATATTATCAAGGAAAAGTGAAATGGGTTTTTCTCTTTAGGAAATCATAATGCATTTAAATACTCCCATTAACTAATCTACAGCTCCAAGTAATTTTCATAAAGAAAAACAATAGATACCCTATCTCAAAGGGTTTTCAGTGAACAAAGATACGATTCACTGCCAAAGAAACACTGTAAAGATTCACTTTCTCTTGAAGTAGGGAGATCTTTATAAATGGGTGGGGCATGGGGAGAAGGGAGGAAAAGGAGAGAAAAGGGATGGAAAAAAATTGAAGGGAGAAAATGGTGATGAAAACAGAACTTTTTAAAATGGGAAGGGAGGGCCAGGGATGGTGGTGCATGCCTGTCATCCCAGCACTCAGGAGGCTGAGGCAGGAGGATCGTTGCAAGTTCGAGATCAGCCTGGGCTACAAAGTGAGCTCAAGGCCAGCCTGAGCCACATAGCAAGATCCTGTCTCAAAAAGACAAAAAAAAAAAAAAAAAAAAAAGGAAGGGAACCATCAGTTGGAGGAAGCAGGGAAGGAGGAGAAGGATAGGGGATTAAAAAAAGAAGGAAGATGCATTGTGTACATGCACCAGTTAGCCACAATACATGCAATCATCGTGTACTGCAAACACACTAATAAATTTTAAGACTCCTTTTCTTTTCTTTTTTTGTTTTGGTTTTCTTCCGCTTCTGCTGAGCTAAATCCCCAGCCCCAAGACTCCTTTTGTTTAAAATCTTATTACTAATACAATCTTTGAAGTTACTATTTACACACGAAATACTTTGCTCCTGTGTTCTAATAATCCTCTAACATGGTAAAGATGACATTCTCAGATGTCAATGAAGTGGAAAAGAAACATATTTGTTCAGATTATAAACTTCAATATTGGGGCTGGGGAATTAGCTCAGCAGCACAGTGCCTGCCTGGCAAGTGCAAGGTCGTGAGTTCGATTCCTAGTACCGAAAAAAAAAAAAAAAAAAAAAAACTTCAATATTGGCTGATCAACTTGTAACAATAAGGGGCAACCCACTTTCTGGGCCCCTCTTCTGTCCCTCTTAGACAAAAACTTTCTTTCTCTTGATAAATTCTTCCTGCTCTTTAAAAAAAAAAAAAAAAAAAACTGGTAGCAATAAGCAAATATGTGAAGTAAAAGCTTACTGATACGTTATTTGCACATGTGCTTTGCCTTTTTAATTAAAATGCGATCAGTCAGTTCAGTGGGCCTCTGAACCCTGACTCCGTTAAATGAGGCCGATTTTATTACTCTTTCTGTTCAACCTCTCCTTTCACAACAGCACAGGCTAGGAGGCCTTCAAGTAAAATCCCTACCAGTGCCACAGGCTAGGATTTCTCAGTCAGAAACTGAAGGAATGTTGTATTTGTAGGGAAGATTGTATTGAGAAAGGAGATGAACAGTCCATACCTTCCCTCATGCTGAGGAGAAACAAGTTGAGGAAATAAACTCCTGTGGAAAACACCCTTTCATCCTCAACAGAACTGCTACTGTCTAAGAGGGACAGAAGGGGGGCCTGGCAAGTGGGTTGCCCCTTATTGTTACAAGTTGATCAGCCAAGGGGCTACTCTCCACGCCAAACCTTGAGTGTCAGCAGCATCCTACAAACCCAATATCTCCACAAAGAAATTGAGAACACTATTAAGGTGGGAAAACTACAAGAAAAGCAAATTCTAATGACCTCCCAACATCCTAAACAAATCCCTGGATGCCTCCCTCATTCTAAAGATGAGTCGGAACCATGGCACTCGCCTCTACCTTGTAGGACACAGGGGGCGTGCTGAGAAAAGCACCGGCGCATGCGTACCTGGATCCCAGGTCATTCCTTATGCCGGCTGCAGAGGAGAGGCTTTCCAAGATGGCTGTTCGGCGGCAAAACCATTTCCAGTGAGGCTTAAAGGTAAAACATCTCTGTGATAATACAGGGTGTGGCTAAAAAAATACGATGAATGGTTAAGTTTACAAAATATTACCGTGAGAGATATATTGTCATTAATCCTCATCAAAATACTTCCTCTTGACTGGAACATGTTGATTCCATCCTTCTTGCCATTTCCTGAAGCAGTTCTGGAAGTTCTCTTCTGAGTCTTTAGGTGCATCATTGAGGCTGCTTCTTTCATGACTTGAATCAACTCAAAACATTTACTTTTTCAGGGCTATTTTGGTTTCGGAGAAGACAGAGGCATTTCATGGGGCCGGGCGTGGTGAATAAGGTGGATGAGGATACATCATAAAGTTCTTAGCACCTGCTTTTCAGTTAAATGGCAGTCAGCACCATCACTCACTGTATTTTTGATTAGTCCTTATCATGATACAAAGGAAACTTCCAGCATGGCTTTGAAAAATAATGAGCTAAGTGTGTTTGAAACTACAGGAAATATTCTGAGTAGAATTAATGGCCATAAGTCTTTTGTTATAAATAAAATTTAAATATTCACTGTATTTTGTGAAAACACGTTGTATGTACTACTTTCATTTCTTCTCTTTCCTTTACACAGAATTATGGAGCTCTGTTAAACAAAGTAAAACCATCACAGGTCTATACCCTTCTTTTCTTCCTTCAACTTAGCAAGAAAGGTTTGAATACAAGGTATACTGCCGGGCACCTCTGAAGCATTTTTTAATTGTGGGGAAGGAAGTTTCAGGTTATCTATGGTTGAGTGTGTGAACAGTGAGTAAGAAATGTAAAGTTGATTGTCACTAAAATCTCTGGGAGGAGGCTATGATCCAGGTGGAGAATAAGTGGCTATGAAAAGGTTAGCAGAAAAAAAAAAAAAAAAGCACAAGCACAAGAAATTAAATTGGCCAAAAAAATGATTTTCTGATTTCTGGTATCCAGTTAGCTGCTTTCTGCCACCAAGAAATTAAGGCTTTAATTGGATGTGCCCACAGAAACAAAAGCAACCACAACAGAAAAAGACACCATAATTGCGGAGTAATCAGCAGGAGTAATTACTAATTACTTAATTAGTAAATCTTATCATGAGTTGGGGATATATGAGTGAAAATGCTTCAGGGCACCATTAAGTATTTCTGATGCTGCAAAGTCCCAGAAGCATCCACAGAAATCGCCTCCATGTCCTACTCAACTACTATTCAGCCCCTACATACTATGACCTAACTCCCTGACTTTCCTAGGAAGATGTCTTCGCTCTTGACCTTGTTTCTTTCAGAGGCTATCCCGATATATACTTTAATGTCCTCACTTGTCAGTAATATAGTTTCCATTGAGAATAGCATCAAACTTACATGGTTAGTGTGAGGGTTATGATCTAATCCAAGCCAATGGACACATGCCATTGCCTACAATAGAACAATAGTAGAAAAAAAAAAAGCTGTGAACTGATAATGATCAGTGGCTCCTCAATACAAGAAAGTGGCTCAAATTTTGGCAAATTTAGATTTCTTTACTGTGATTTTTGCATGACTTGTAAAATTCCTTCTGAATTCTCAGATGAGCAATGATTCCCTTTTTGAGGTGAGAAAATCAAATTTGCAAATTGGGAGATCATTCTGCTCTCACAGAAGATTGGAATACATCTGGGTAGAGTGACAGTGACTTTCTATTTTAACCCTCTATGTGCAAGCTGCAACAAGCCACAGAAAAAGGGTAGCAAAAATCTGGACCATGAAATCAGCCTAAGGAATATGAGGCTTGAAGTCAATGCTCAATTTTTATTCAGAGAGAGCATAGGATGATAATCCACAGGACTACTTTTAATGTTTATGTGGTCAAAAGTGTCCAATTAGTGCTGAACTGTAGCTTAAAATTTTACCTAGTTTGGAACCTGTCTAACTTTGGAAAACATGCTTAAAACTGGCAACTTGTCCACCTGCCTAAAAATGGCAATTTGTTTTTGACTGGATTCTGGTTTTGTAGCATTAGGACCCTGGGTTTCTTCTATCTTACACGGATATCTCAGGGCTGTACTTCTCTGCGGTAGTCTCAGGTCCCTGGATCCTCTGTATTTTCCAAAGTGGGAGTTCCTGTCTAGGATCTTTACTGCCCATATTTCTCCCACTATAGTGATCATAAAGTCTTAAGTAATCTTTAACAAATTTGAAATTTCCCTACAGCACAGCTGAAACAATACTGCACTCCAGCTTCTACTTATTATCCAGTTCCAAAGCCTTTCAGTGTCTTTTTGATGGTGGTTACGGTACCATCTAGTTCCCATGCCAATTCCTTTGTGCTTATGTGAGTGAAGGACAGGAAAGTGTGGGACCAATGAAAGAATGTTAAGTCATGCCGTGTCTTGGTAGCCCCATAAAGAAGTTCAGGTTTTACTGTGAGAGCCACAGTGGAAGATTTTAAAAAGAGGAACGGAATATCACATGTTGCTATGGCCAAATGTCTCCCAAATCAGGATTAAAGTTCCAAGATTTAAAGCAAAAGTTTTTGTATTGTCTAAGGATAAGTAAGGTCATCCAGTGACTTACTGGCTCTTTTTAAAAATGATATATATATTGTTTAAAGTATATTGGGAATAAAGTTTATTTTTAATTGCTACAAAAATTGTGAGCACTGATGTGACAGTTAGGTTAGACTGTCATATTGATTGTAAAGTATACTGGGTATGTGTCTGCAGGTCACGGGGACATGAACATGATTACTATATATAGTCTCTGGTACCTTCCTCTCTGTGCTGTTTTCCTGATCTGCTTCCCTAACACCAAGAGCTGAGCAGCTTTTTGGTATCACATTCTTCCTCCTTGATGCTCCTGTCATGGTGTCAGTTGACCATGGAATGAACCTTCAAAACCCATGAGCCAAACTGGACCTCTCTTTATTTATGCTGCAAGGATTGGATATTTAGTACCAGCATTGGATATTTAGTACCTGTGTAAAAGATTAATACTAAAAAATGGAATA